CTTAAAGGGGGGGGGGGGGGGGGGCCCCAAAAACTTCCATTTTTCAAAACGGGGGGGTAAAAAAAGGACTTCTCCCATTTTTCTCCCGGAAAAAAAGCCCCCAAAGCTCCCCCCCCCCCCCCCCGGGGGTAAAAACCCGTGCAAATCTGGGCCCTCTTCCTCTTCCCTAAATTTTTTCCCCCCAAACACCAGTTTGGCCCTGAAATTGTTTGGGGGTGTTCAGGGGGGGGGGGGGGACCCCTTTTCCCGGGATAATTTTCCATTTTTTCCGCGGGCAGGAACACCTTCCTTTTTTCCCGGGCCCCTTAGGGGGGGCAAGGGGGGGGGGGGGGGGTGTACTCATACTCATAGTCATGAATGCCGTAGTCGTTAGACCATTGACCTCGCATCCCTACAAATCCGGGACGGAGCACGCCCGGTTGACCTCAAGGGGGGGGGGGTACTACGACCAGGTTAGCGTAACATTAGCAAGCGGGTGGCAACACCGCGGGAATGCCGCTAAGCAGCGTGTTCGTTCTTCCAGGATGTGGTCGTGTTTGGTTGTCGGGTATAGCGAGTTGATCAAACGGACGCGGGCAGTGAGTGCTCTGTGATTTGTGGGATCGTACAACACGACCAAGATAAAGCAAGCTGGTGTACAACAGTACACAGGATGATGCTGCGCTTAGCAAGCAGTAGGCGGAATGATCAAACAGAGTGCAGGGTAACAAACAACAAACCAGGATTTCTCTCCATCAAGACCGAGGAGCGTGTCACAACCCAAGGGAATGCACGGCAGAAAAGAAAACAACAAACTTCGGCGAGCGGGTTAGCCAACTCAGACGGAACTAACAGAAGGAAATGCCTCCGGCGGGCCAGACAACCACGGCCGTGCTGCTCCAAGTCCCGCGTCACGACCGATCCCTCTCTGAAGTCCGCGGCACCACGACAGCGGTAACGTACATTGTAGCTAGCTCAACGTAGAGAACGAACCCAGTGTTTTAAGATGGGACCGCCCTCACGAGGATGCTATTGATAACGTATGATGTAGAGAGAGGGGCTTCGCCACCCTTGCCCTAACTCCCAACCAAAAACAAAGCTTTTCCCTCGCGAAGGCGAAGGCGACTGCTGTGTCTGATTCCAGTCAACCGCTCACCAGAGGGTCCTAGGAGGTGAACGAAGCATTCGACATGTGGAGCACTCACCGGGTCGCAGATGAAGAGCAATGCTGGATTCGCTTCTTTCAGTCTTCGGTGGACGTCGAGGACGGCATGCAAGAAGGACGGGGATCCGACGTAGCCCTGCCAACAACGAGCACAGACGAGAAGCACAAGGTAAAACACAAACAAACGGGAGGTCGCATGCGTATTAAAGAGAGTGGGCAGGAAAACCATCCCTTGCAAGGAGGGTCCGTGGGAAGCACGCACGCGTGGGGGGGGGCGCGGGGGGGGTACTCATGTTTTGCATGCCTTATGGCTGATATGTAGACCGTTGACCACGCGTCGTTGAGGGGACGGAGCATTGTTCCTACCAGCGCGGGCGGGCGGGAGGTACTTCTGTAGGATAGAAAGGATTGATTCATACACACGAGCACCACTCCCTTACCGTGAGCACATGCGTATAGCCCCTGAGGAGGTTGTTGGATTCCAACCCCTGCAGCAGCCTCGAGAGCTCTTCCCCCTGGAGCACCGTCCCTTCAAACCCTGCGTAGCCTGTGCATGAACATCCAATCAGAGGGCGGCATTTTCGGTGTCTGGCTCGATATTTGTAGCAGCAGCGGCAGCGGCGCCTTCGTAGCATGGGAAACAAGGACGCATCCGTACAGTCGCATGAGCGCTCTGTGTTAGAAAGAGGTTGCACAAGGGTGTGCCGCGCTGTTGAGACCAGAATCATTGTGTGTTTTCCCAGCAAGCGCGCGTATGTGTGGGAGACAAGGGCAGCAGTGTGCGAGAAATTGAACATCCCCGGATAAGAGGTGATACGCAGAAGAAAGCAAACGGTGGCTGAAACAATGCGCAGTCTTATCGTCGTGTGTACCGCACAACAGCAAGAGTAACAGAACCGGCCGGCATGGCCCACTACTCAGGTTGTACCCTTGCGAAGATCTCCTACAACACTGCTGTAGTCTACATTGATTGCACCTCTGTACAGGTAGCAGGCGATGTAAAATATGTCGACACCACGAGAGGGTCTGGTCGCCGAGTAAAAGCAACACGCAGTACACTTTATATCGTCTCTCTGCCTGCTGTGTGGTCGCTTCCCACACTCACCACCATCATGACAAACTACCGACGCACCTGTGTGGTTGGAAAACTGCACGGAGTTAACAGGGTCCACGTCGAAGCCTAGCAGCTGAAGCGGGAAGACCGAGCACTTGTTGCCCACGTACCCTCGAACAACATGGCTCTGAATGCTACATTAGGAAATAAGAAGGATGAGCAGCAGCACGGCAGGTTGGTTGAGTATTTAGGAGAGATAGAGGGCAGCAGCGTCGAAGGAGTCGAGATCACATGTGCAAATGAGGCGTGTGCAGAGAGAGGCCTTTTCGCGTGACAATCGGGTGCTTGCTATGCCTACCAAGTCGCAACGCCACCCTGCACAGCCCAACATGTCCACGACATGAAGAGCAGCATCATCTGCAGGAATGCTGTTGTACTGGCTGCATACTTTCATTTTGAAACAGGACCGGATGAGGTACGGACTTGAGCCAACAACGGTGGAAAAAAGGGCGCCACCGAGCTCTTCCGGCTTACTCACCTCAGCACCCGTCCTCCAGACGCCATCCTTGCAGCACAACACGGACCTCCTCTACGTGCCTGTGTCGGCTGTTGCCAGTTGCAACACAAGGGAGTGCTGAGTGCCGAGGTCAGGTCAGTTGGGGAGGGGTACCACAGCAATATTGCAGTTCACGTTGCCCCCTGGCCTCGTCTTCTCCGGGAACAGGGACCATGGGTAGAGATAAATTTTTTAAAAGCGGCGCCTCTGATTGGCCCAAACCGCCGCATTTGAACGAAGCTGATTGGGAGTTTGAAAGCGGGTTTTAAAAGCGGCACTTGGGATTAGTACGGGAGGAGTTGTAAAGACCGCGCGCGCGTGCGTTGTACTAAGAACCAACGTGCGCGCCGGCAGCACTGCACAGCTGCACAGCGCACAACACGTGCTTGCCAGCGTATGTATATCGCGTGGACAGACGCCGCGACGTGGTGAGATGCCAGGCAATGCCCCTCATGAAACCACCTGGGGCTGGGCTGCTATTGCGGCGGCGTGAACCTCCTGCTTGAAGCAAACGACCTCATCATCAACCAGAGCGCCGGTTGTGTTTTGGCATCATCATCATCATCATGACCGACCACGAAGCAACGGACATGGGATAAGGGCGTGGTGGCGACGGCTGGCTGTGTAAAACACGTTGCTGAGCACTGGCGGCGGTAAAGCTAGGAGGAGAGGCAGAGGTAGCAGCGGTCACCCCGTTTCGGCTTTTCCAGGTGAATATGTTGGTGCTACAAGCAAGTGTACAGCAACAGCAGTGAGTTGCAGCGCTTAGCCTTCGTGGGGTGTATCGTGTGCGTGCCTCTCTGTACGCTGCTTAGTACCCCATTGATGTGACGGCTGCTGCTGTACTGCTGTAGTGTGCGTACATAACGGGTACCGAACGTTTCTTTATTAACAGATCAGCAGGTGCTGTCCTGCAACGTCGTCACGAAATCAATCGGTCTTTTCTCGCAAGCATTATTTCACCACAGCGCAGCAACTTTACAGCAGTGTAGCAGATAGAGTCGATGACCGTCAGCAGTGCCGGCCCGCTCGTAAGAGCTTGGGCGAGGTTAAGCACCTTGCCGCAGCCATGTGAGCTGTGTATCATATCCTCTTACTTTATTTTTGCCAGCTAGTACAGCGAAGACAGCACAGCAGATAGAGTTCATGCCCACCCCCTTTGAACACCAAGCTTTCATCCCAGTATGTCTAGTCTACCTCAGAAGAAGGCATTACAAGACCGTCTGCAAGCACCTTACAGTAGGTTACCGTTCCCAAATGAGAACCCACACGATCTATCGTATGCATATTTATCCTCATCCTCAGTCGCTGTTTCAAACGTTGAGAATCCGCGCATGTTTCCGTGCCGGGGTGCCGCTCATCGCAACCGTCGATCCGCTCGGTCAACGCCTATTCTCCCACGGCTGATTTCGCCTCGTCTACACTGCTCGCATCTAGAGGCAACGTCACGCTAATAGTCCTTTGATGGGGCGTCAATGCCACGCCGTATGCATACGTCGTCGTACATGTGGCTGTTCAGGGCAGCCACCTGATTGATCTGCCCCAATAACTACCCCCGAACCAAGCCTCAAGAACATACAAACAACCAATACAAAGCGCAACCTAGCTCGTGAGGGGGGACCCCCGAAGACGAAATCCGTCCGGAAGCTGCATCGCTGCATGTATCAAGCTGTGACTAGGGGTCAAAGGCCGTTTCTTCCCACGTCCAACCTCAAATCCTTTCATTTGTAGCAACTGTATCCACGCAGTCCCTTCCGAGGAACTGGAGATCTGTGAAGGTCTGCTTGCTGTACGTCGGCAACCTTGTCACGGTTCTTTCTTTTTTGTCGTCAACGTTCAACTGCAACCTTCAGCAGTATGTAGCGGGTTGTTTGTTCTTACCTCCTGTGTACCGCAGTTTTATGTACATAGCGCGAGTGTAATTCCTACTTGTACAGCAGTAGTTTCAGGGTTTATCATCGGTAACGCTCGTTGAGGCGGACACAGGGTGCAGGCTTGTATGGTAGTAAATACGTGGTACATCGTTGAGGCGTGTCAATGCAGTTGCTGACGTTTTCCCTCCTGTGTGTTCTTCGTACCCCTTTCCTCCTCTTGCTCCATCCGTGCATCAGGTACTCTCGCTCAGCATCCTAACGGCACCGCGGCGCTGGCGGGAAGCCGGCCGCGACTCGAGCCTCACTTGACAAGCCGGTTCATCTTTAGGTGGGTCATATGCATAGAGCAGCAACAGGGGGTTTCGTGCAGTCCAGATTGCGATACAACTCTACGGATGAGCGTGATATTGTTGAGGGATACGCTTGCATGCGTGCTGCTGGGAGCGACATTTGTGCTACTCAAGTGTTTGTAGAGTTTCTGCATTTTTGTTTACGACGCATACTTGTATCGATGGCACAACGGCCGGGCACACTTTTACCAACTGTCCGCGGTCCAACCATGGCACTACAAAGGGCCGTAGAGAAGTTCGACGCTTGGGTATGTTCACTTTTGCCTTTTGGCCTCTGATGAAAATGCTGAATCGCAAAACACATGTCATGTTCTCGCTTTGGATGACAGGTGTTCATACAACCGAGCGCTGGACATCAAGACGGGGTCGAAGGCTGATTTGGCGGTTCCTCTCCGTCGAACAGCTACCCAACCTATGGGGTGCCAGGGCAGTGTTTGAAGACGTGGTGTTAATCCTGCGCGATGTAACGGCGATTCAATGCGAACCTCTTGGTGATCATTGGCAGTCATCTTGCATCCTGCGGAGAACTGTTGTGACGACCGGAAGATGTAAACGCTTGGTTTACGCACAGGCACATTCGGAGATCTAGGGTTCGTTTTCCATGCTTATTCGTTGCTATTTCAGCGAGCGCCTATTCGGCGAGCAAATGCTGTTGTGTCCCGTTGGAATTTGGAAACGCCTTGTGTATAGGTTACAGCGGTAGCAGCCGGTGACTGGGGTAGTGAGTAGGGGCGGTTTGGTGGGGACGGGGGCGTCCATGCCGAATGCGAAGATGGGCATGAGGGGATAGAAGTACCATCCGTGCTATGGAGGCTGGACATGTGTCATTTTTCGGGGGGGCGTGCAAACCTTGTGGGCACCACAACAGCAGTAGGAGTGCCTGGCAGCAACGTAAGTACATAGCAGTAATGGGAGAGAACTACATAGTGTTGGCAAACTCTGCTGTCGCTGAAGTTCCAATTCTTGTTTCCCAAACCGGTTTGGGGGTAAACGGCAACGGCCGATGCTAGCCCTGATCGGGGTGTGGTGCAGTCTTCTGTAGCAGAACCAACCTACACAGACGTGATGCTGCCGTGTTTTTCGTAGACGTCTGAATGTAGAAGAACACATGGCTTGAATGTACACGCATCGATCCTTCTCGTAAGATGCCCAATGTAGAGCAAAACACTATACTTTGAAATCGTACTCGATTTGAAAGAGATAAGTACACGTACAACAGACGCATGCAAGAAAAAAAAAAAAGGTGGTACCTTCCGCACAATCATAAAGCCTCTTAATTTAGTGCACTCCCTCGGCCGCAATTCCTTGTACATTCTGATGCGCATGCATCAGTCCTCCTCGCAAAGTGCCAGGCAATGCAGAACAAAAAACGATTTTGAAATCGAGCTCGATTTGAGCGAGATAACAGTCAAAACAACAGGGCACAGAAAGGAGAAAAAAAGAGGCTTCAGCCCAAACGCCTCTTCGTATTTTTTTCGCGCTTCGCGCGAAATTAATATAACTCGTTCCCGGGTTGCCCTACCCATGGTCGCTGAGCCCTTCTCCGCGCAAGTTCTCGGCGAGAGCAGCAAGCTAACACACTTCGCGCTGCATACCTTCCCTGGACCTCAAAACAACAATCCAGCTCCAGAATGAAGGCATTCGCTGCTTGTGTCACCGCGGTGGCGGCGCTGGACTGCGCGTCAGCCTTCGTGGCGCCCGTGGTGACCTCTAGCTTTGCCAGCTCGTCGCTGAGCCGCACCTCCGCTCGATCGCGCGCCCCCGGAGTGCTACGTATGTCTTCTGCAGTGTCCACTGACGCGAAGGTGTGGTGGTGCACCTGCAGAGCGGTAGCTAGGAGAGTCAATCTTGCGTAGCACGTGGATCAATATTTCAGGCGTGGTAGTTTGCTGGATGCACGTCCTTCGTGGTGGTGGTGGTGGGTGGGGAGATAATAGACGTCGTCGGAAAGTACGCATGTGTGAGTCAGCGAGTTGCGGTTGATGCTGGCGGGGTCGCCGGCCCAGCTTCTTCCCACTTTGTTCAACGTTTGTTCCTGTTTTTTGCCAGCGGGAAGGTAGCAACGCCTTGGAAACTATGGTCTCGTTGCCTGCTGCCTGTTAGCAAAGCATTCCCTGCCAGTGTTGGAATCACGTGCTCAGCCCCGACACCAGTGAAAAACAAGAGCGGCGCACTTCATTTTTCACCCGCCGTGAGAGCTTGCCGTGCGGCTCTAAGCCATACAGATTACTCGCAAGTGCAGCAGGTCATGTTCATCATTGCAGTTTGCAGCGCGGTTTTGTGTGGAACAACTCCCTGGTGTGCGCCTACCAGTTGCATTGCATCCTCACAGCAGGCAGTTCCACTGCTGTTTGCGAAAGCCGTGTGGCCGGGAGAGGGCCTACTGCTGTAGCCAGCGAAAACCCGGTCCCTCCTCAGCCGATGCACAAACATGAGTCTTGGCAGCAGCATCACGTCTCGATCGAAGGCGGTTGCACATATACATATATGCATGTTGCCTTCAACATCAGCAGCAGCAGCAGCAGAGCTAGTATGGCGTCTACAGCAGTAGTAGCGTCAGAAGCGGTGCGCTCCTTCCGGCCCTTTCTGTGTACTAAGGTGCCAGTAGCTTAATTCGGTCTCTTTGCCTCTCTCGCGAATGGATGGTTGGTCCGTTCACGATCTTGCGCATACAGCGAAGGAATATAACATTCAGATAGATGCGCAAGATGGCTGTGCCAAACTGTCTTGTTGAGCCTGTTACCCACACGGGAGATGTCGCTGTATGCTGCTCGGGAAATCGTGAAAATATAGGTAACCTCCACTGACGCTGGAGTCCTTGCTAATCTACCGTACACTCTTTTCTTACACTTGAAAAATAAGTAGATAAGAGATGGATTCGTTGTGCCATACAAGTGAAAAATAAAACTCGCACAGCTCGCGGCCCGCAGTATGTGTAACCCGTTGCAATTTTGCCAAAATACCACCGCCGTACACAACACAAGGTAACACACCCAACATAGGATTGCACACGCCCGGCAGAAGACACACCCGTTGATAATAAAAGCCCAAAACACGATGGCTACTCTTAGATCAAATCAAACACATCCCGTTCGACACCCTGTGGGTGTATCTCGAATGGGTATAATAATCTTTCTGTGTGCGTATTTATTTTACCTAATTATTCAGGAGGGGAGGGTAGAGAGGGGTGGGCTCTTCTGTGTGACCACGGGTTGGGAGTAAACGGCACTACAGTAGTAGTGCTGTGAGCTCTGATTTGAAGTGACGACAAAAAAAAAAAAATGAAGAGGGGCGATGATACAACACACACACGGTGATCGTGTTTTTCCACTGGCCAAATTTTTACTCGTTACCCGGTGTTTTCCTGTCTGTGTAGAACGGTTTGTCACTGGTACGAATTTCACTGAACAGCTCGTCTTCTCTTCGAGTGTGCTGTTGGCTGATATCAGGTACAGCAGTGCTCAATGTGTCTTATCATTTCTTGTTGTTGGTCTATTGGTATGATGATGCTCTCTTCGCGAAAGGTGGCGGCTTTGCAAGAGTGCAAGAAGGAGCTCGCGGGCATGATCGACAAGACCAACTCGCACCCCATCATGATCCGACTTGCGTGGCACGATGCCGGTGAGTTGTTGTTGTTGTCGTCGTCTTCGTTGTCATTGTTTTGGTCGTTGTTGATGTTGTTGCTGTCGTTGTTTTGGTTGCTGGTGGCGTTGTCAGTGTGTTTTTCTCCTCTTGACATCGACGAAAAAAGACGAGAACGAACCCTTGTTTGCTGCTGCCCTTGCTTTGTCTCCGCTGGACAGGGACGTACAACAAGGACAGCACCGAGGGGTGGCCGAGGTAAGATGAAACACCGCAAAAACGCGTACACTGCATAGTAGAAGGAACTCCGCTGCAACGAGCGCCGAAAACGACGATTTAGCCGTGAGACAACAGGCCGATGCATACGCACGGCTGGAAGCAGACAATATTCCGCGCGCTGTAGAACTATTACTAAACAGCTAAACTAATAGTTGGGTAAGGATTAAACTACGGGTAGTTGAACCGTACTTGCACAAGATTCTGACCGAGGAGTTGTTCAGAAACAACTATTTAGTTGCAAGATTCTGACCGAGGAGTTGTTTAGAAACAACTAATTGCACAAGATTCTGACCGAGGAGTTGTTTAGAAACAACTAATTGCACAACATTCTGACCAAATGAACAGTTGTTTGGCAAAACAGAAACACAACTATCGTAGTTGTACAGGCTCTGCAAGTATTGGCATAGATTTTCATGTGGGCAGGGCGAGGTTTTCGGTAGGGTCGGGTGGAATCTGCGGCGGCATCCGCGCAGCGGCTGGCTCCCAGGGGGAGAGACCATGAACAGGAACACCGCTGTTGAGTTCGGCAGCCGAACTGCTCACGCTGTTGAAGATGACGAAGTTTGTACACGGCACACTCGTGATTCACGGAGCGCTCTCAACAAGGCTGCGTTGTCTTGAGATGTTGGCGTTGTGGCAGCCATCCATGCAGAAGGCACGCGGAGTGTCAGCGTTGAAAGTCCACTTGCTTTCAAAGCAGAAAACGTTCCGTTTCGACATTAAACCGCCAGGTCAAAAGCCTCGAGAGTTGGTAAAATCTACGCCAGCTTTTTTTGAGCGACACGCAAGAAATACAGTGTTACCCGACCACGTGGCACGGGGCCATGGGGGGGAGCGGAGGGCTCCAGACTATCTGTCTCTGTTGTTTTTTTATCGTTTTGCGGACCCTTCCGGTCCATTTTTTCTACCGTACTAAAGCTTTTCTAGCGTAACTGGTAGATGCATACGAACTGAAGGAGGCACTGGGCGGGCAGATCCGACCGGGCAGATCCGACCGGCTTCTACTGTGAAGACAGCAACAACATGATACCTTGTAGGCATCAGCTGCCCCTCACCTTCGATTCAAATCGCGTCACACACGCCTACCAGACAGGGGGGAGCTAACGGGTCCATCCGCTTCGAGCCGGAGATCAACCACGGCGCTAACGCCGGCCTGACCACGGCCCTGAAGCTCCTCACGCCGATCAAGAAGAAGTTCGAGGAGGTCGGCTGGGCGGACCTCATGCAGCTCGCCTCGGCAACGGCTGTCGAAGTCGCCGGTAAGCACAGGACAAACGGAACGATCAAGCCGGCACTTTTGTTGACGTAGAAATAAATCGTGTCGCGGTGGCTGGTGGTAAAAGCCAAAGAAAGGAGAGAGAGAGACGAATCAAGCAAACAATCAATAAAAGGAGAGAGAGAGACGAATCAAGCAAAAAATAGGACGTGTGAATCACCTTTTTCGCGGAGCGTGATGCGCAAACGGGCATAAATGTTCCCTCCACTGCTTGTGCGAAAGTTGGAGGTTGATAAAAATATAAACGATTTTTAGATGTACGCATGGTATCGTAAGAGTAGCCGCGTCACCCTGGCATTGCTGGTACACGCAGTATGCGCCACCGGCGATCTCACGGGCCAAAGTTGCTGCCAGGCACACGACCACAACGTGCACACCCACTCCCTCGCGGTCTGTTGTCTCTCCTATGATATTCGCATTCGTTGTCGTGCCCTAGGGGGACCCGCGATCGACATGAAGTACGGCCGCAAGGACGCGGTAGCACCGGAGGACTGCGTGGACGAGGGATCCCTCCCCGCCGGGAACAAGCCTTTCCCGGACGCCGACAACGCCCAGGTGGGTTTGTACAGTCAGCCTGTCTGATGATAAATATTTACTTCTTCAAATCCGTTGAGGAAAGTTTCTGATGGGACGTTATCTGGCCGTTGATGTTTTCTGCACACGCGGAAGGAAGGGTGCATAGAGAATCGCGTAGTAGGTCTTTCGTTGTCTCCTGCTTGTTCATGCCGCAGGTCTGGTTCTCCTGGACACGACATGCCAGACCACACCTACATATGTGTAGGTGTGCTGGGGTGTCTGTTCTTGAGGCATACATTCTGAGCCCGCTCAGCGTGGAAGCTTATACATGGGTGGAATATATCTTTTATTTTTTTGTTGCGATTTTGTTTCTTGAGCACCACCTTCGCAACGTGTCTTTTCCTCTTCGCGTTGTACCTTACCGTTTGAAATGGCCGTTCTTTTAGTGTAGTTTTTTCGATTTTGTGTCGTAAGGACCACCTGCGCAACGTGTTCTACCGCGTCGCCTGTGCTCGAACATTATGTTAAAGTTGAACGTATCGTCGTTGTGTTTTTTGTTGCTTTTGTGATTTTGTTTCGTCAGGACCACCTGCGCAACGTGTTCTACCGCATGGGGTTCGGTGACGAGGGGATCGTTGCTCTGTCCGGGGCCCACACGCTGGGGCGTGCCTTCAAGGTGAGAGTCAAGAAAAGACAAGCAAGACATCGGACTACTGCTGTTGCCACGGCTTTTGCCAAACATGCAATCCACAACCTTGCTCGGTGTTGGTCGAACATGCAATCCACAACCTCCTCTCTCGGTGTTATCGTGGAGCGGTGCGGTGCCCTTGTTGCGGGTTCCGTTGTATTGGCTCCTCTTCCGACACGATGACGGCAGCAGGTGCTGGTGGCGGCTTCTGGTGTTCGTATTGTGGGGAGTTTCGGGCATGAATTTTGAATTTTGCACCTTGATCCGAGGAGCAAATCAGGATGATGCCGCGGTTTCGTGATTTCCGTGTCACTGCCCCACGCGCCAGCGGCCTTGTTCGCCGAGAGAGGGTTTTACTCAGCACATTGTTGGATGTCTTCGGCGTAGGTTGCATAGGATTCCACGACCCCTGGGCCCATTTCCATGTTCAAAGCTTGATTACTCCGCGAAAAACACACTGCGACGGTGCTCAAAATGATACCGTTGGAACTGTCTCGTCTAGAGCTTTCCGAAAACATGTGATTTATCTTGATGGCATCCTGTTCGCCGTGGAGTGGCCGAGCTTTGAAAACGGGTCAGGGGGTGTGTTACCTTACGCACGCTAACGTATTCCGCTTGGCCATTGTACCGGGTCGCGCCGTTTCGGGGGTATATTTTGACTCTACTGACCACTTTTTGGTATTTTTGTTGTCATCCCACGCGACAGTGTGTAGATTACACCCGTGTCGGAGGCTGTATTTGCGCTAACTACAAAAATGATACCTTGATGTTTCTTTTCTCCAATCGAAAGCAACCCCAACCACCGTCCTACATGCTCGACTCACACTCAACCTTGACAGGACCGCAGCGGGGAGGGAGCGGAGTCTACGAAGTTCACCTCCGGCGACCACGTCGCCCGCGGGGACGGCAAGGCCGGCTACGGGCGCAAGGGCGGGAGCTCGTGGACTGAGAAGTGGCTCAAGTTCGACAACAGGTGATGAATGACGTTCTATCAATACTGTACTCTGTAGGATGATCGGATATCACAGCCTAAGGTGTTTTATTTTGAACCATTTTGAACCATGTCCGCGCGAAGACAAAGTAAAAGGGTGACGCTTGTAGGATGATCGAGGAAGTGTGATGAGGCTAAGGTTTCTTGACTACATCTGCCGGAAGAAAACAAAAAACTAAAGACATGACGCATTTAGCATGATGAGGGTTTTGTAACCATATCTGCCCGAAGACCAATAAAAAAGAAAAACATGACGCATGAGTGTGATGAGGTTGAGGTTTTCGTGACCACATCTGCCGGAAGACCAAACAAAAGGCAAAAAATAATGACGCATGCGCAAGTGTCCCAAGAGGGCGAGGGTCGCTTATTCTTCCCCGAGAGCCGTTGGCAAGATCATTTCACCATACTTGGGCTCGAGTCTCGATGAAGCAAGCGTTATGAAACACGGTAGGGTCGTTAGGTAAAGACCATGTCGCAACGTTTCCCCCGAGCGAGAACACCCAAGACCATTACGGAATATTTTGGCTTGACCATCGATAGAACAAGCGTATATCGTTATTGTGGTAGCGGGTCGTTGAGAACGACCTTGTCGCTCATGACGCTTGTCGTTTTCCTTTCGTATTGTTTTGTACCACTTGTACTTGGTTGATCAAGACGATGTCGCTCATGCCGGTTCCTTTCTCGTTCTACTGTATTCTACTGTTTACATATATATATATATTTTTTTTCCAGCTACTACGCCACGGTACCCGACGAGGCGTCTGACCCCGAGCTGCTTAAGCTGGGCACCGACAAGTCCCTGTTCGATGACGAGGGCTTCCTCCCCTTCGCGCAGAAGTACAGGGACAGCGAGGAGGCTTTCTTCGAGGACTACAAGAAGGTGGGTACTGCCTGCATTTATGTACAAAGTATACTTTGAGAATATTGTTATTATTATTCTTATTGTTTTTTTTTCGTCCGGTCTGTTACGGCGCCGGTGTATAGGAGGCCTTCTTCGGGGACCTCTTTTGTTTTACTATGTGCTGCTGTAACCGTCATTTTTTTTTTTTTATTTGATTACAAGCACCGCCCGTCGTGTTATTTCAGTGTTATTTTTTTTTGTTTTTTTTTACTACAAGCACCGCCCGTCGTGTTATTTATTATCTCTTAATTCATTTTTTTTCTTCTTATAGTACAATACACAACAATTTTGTTTCTTCCGAGATAGCAATTAATTCATCAGTGTTGTTCGTCGGAGCTTTTCGTACTTTTTTTTCTTAGCTGAAGGCATGGGCATGTTGTGTTGGGTGAAACAGCGTGAGTAGTGTCCCCATGTGTCAATTCCTGCGGCTTCTAATCGTACATAACCGGTGGGACTTGTTCCAATTTTTTTCTCCGTTACGTCATCTGTTGAGTTATGTGGCTTTTTGAGTTGTGGAGGGTAAGGGAGCAACCACAACGCGTGTTTGTCCTTTCGGTGAAAGTCAATCTCAACCGGCCAATAAACCACCGAGGAGGGACATACGACTCAGGCGTTTGGCTTTTGGCACAGACAGCTGTGAGATTGAGGAACATGCACGCACAGCGCTCCTGGATATTTTTTCTTTGGTTGGTTGTTTCAATCCCGCTGGGTTTGCCACGCCTATGGAGCACTTCGTCGTATGTTTGTTTCATGCCCCCCCCTCCGTCCTCTCGAGGACGGGTGGTCAATAGTCTGACCGCTAAGGCATGGAAAAACATGAGTTCCTCCCCACCCCTGACGTTTGTTGTATTGTATGTCGTCCCCCCCGCCCTCCCCTTTGGTTTGCAGGCGCACAAGCAGCTCGCGGAGCTCGGCGTAGAGTGGGAAGTCGAGGGTGGCATCTCGATCTAAATCTCACACCTTTCACGATCACATTTTAATCCGCTTTTTCTGTTGCTGGGTACGGTTCCAACGGCACACCACGTAGATAAATTTGACAAACTGGTGAACGACAAGGCGTCACGTGTTGAATGGCCGACGGACCGTTGACGATGGAAGAGGCGAGGTATCAGGGTAGTAGTGTGAATAGCGCCGGTTATAAAGAAGCGCGCTCTCCTACGCGATGTGAACCGGTTTCATTTGTGAGTTTTGGCTGGAGTGTGACGGGATGGGAATGGGAAACGGTGTCGTGCCAGCATGTTTTGCAATATATAAGGACACTTTTGGTTTGTGGTCGTTTGCTTAGTACGTAGGTTCTCTGATCGCTGAGATCGTTGCCAAATCTGTCGTCTGACCCTGGTTGGGTGGCTCTCATCTGGACTAGTTCGGCAGCGGCATCATCTTCGGCTATGAGTACGATGATTTTCTCTTCACCTCGTAGATCGGGTGCCTTTGCGCGCAGCGTGTGGTGTATTTTCCGGGACACGCGTGTGTGCTTCGTTTTTCCCTCAGGGCATTCTTTGTGCTGCTGCCCGCTGAAATTGTTGGGGAGGTGGCTTGGAAAATAAAGGGGGGGGGGGGGGCTCAGGTCAATGCGCGTCTCTCCTTCGATGATGACCGTTCACGGTCTGGTGTCGGTTGGACAAGAAAATCACTCGTCCGCGCTGGCTTGACAGATATACTGTAGGTCTCGTGTGGGTTTGTGTTTACGGTTGGGTCGTGGTCTGAGATGTGGATCATCACCCGGATTTTTTTTTCCGTCTACGCTCTTCCTCCTTTCCATGGGAGTAGGCGTGGGAGGAGGGGGCCACCCGTTAGTTCCGCCGCTATTTCTTCCTCGTTCGCCCATCGTATCATAGGATTGGGTGGTTTTCCACGGAAAAATAAAAAATAGGAGGAAGTCCTAGGGGGCGAGGAGATTAGCCAGCCCGTGTGTTGTGCGCGCTATTCGCGTTTGAGGCAAGGTGGTCAGTTGCTGGATGGCGTCGAGGGCGTCGCCACAAGCAGCGGGAAAATGTCAATCACCGGCGGCACGCCAGCTGTTGTCCTTGTTGAATTTTAATTGGTGCAACCGTTTGAACCCTGTTCTTTTTTTCAAGAACAACACTGGTCGGCACGTCCGACATACACCGAAAAGTGTAGGCTGAGGCCGAAATGGATGGATGGACCGAAAACACACACGACACATAACGTATAGGGCTTGCACCTACTAATAGGGTAGTTATGGCTAATCGCGGCACAGATGCAAAATTTTTGCGGGATCTGAAAACCGATGCTCTATTAACTCTGGGTACATTCCGTAAGACGGAACATTACAAGAGTGGTGTTCAGAAGTATATGCAAGTTCAAGATAAATACGGTAAGGGGGTAGACTATAATCTTACTGGACATTCTCTTGGAGGATTTACAACTAAATCTTTGCATCACCGGTTTCCTCATTCAACGAGATCAAGTGTTTCATTTAACCCACCAGGGTCACTTCCTTGCTCGGATCCTCTTTGATTCAGAATGCTGGGTGTAAGACTCGGGCACAAAAACTTGTCGAACGCAGTCACCAGTCCTACGTCAATACTTTGAACCCGCATAGTCTGGGCCAATGAAATAATATTATGGATGATTTAGAAACAACTTTGGTTGTATTCGTCATACAAATTAGAAATTAAAATATATATTTTAATAGTAAATTCAATATGCCGGTTTATTCGAAGAAGCATCCTCGTTCCTCGAGTTTGATCAGTTCCGCGGATTGAGTATTCCTGCTTGCCTAAAGAGTCAGTTTTACATGCCTGCTAACACTGATTCGTTTTGGGTTCGACCTAGTCTCGCTAATTTCAGACAGAACATTGCGGGCACAGCAACGTTTGACGACCTATCAACCGGTCGCCCCGGTGGTCTAGTTGGTATTCGCGAAACCTTCTAGAGGTCAGGTCAGGGGTTCGAATCCCGGCGTAAGCGAGCTTTTCTTGCAAAGTGAGTGTTTCTCTCGCTTCCGCTCCTGGTCTAGTGGATAGCGCTAGTTCGTGTGTACACAGAGGGAAGAGAGTGCTGAACTCTTGTCGCATTTAACATCGAAGGCAAAGTGCCGCAGGGGGGGAGGGTAGAGAGAAGCTGTTCTGTGTGACCACGGGTTGGAATAAACGGCACTAGTGCTGTGAGCGCCGATTTGAAGTGAAGATTAAAAAAAAAAAATATATATATATATATATATGATACGTATGTATGTAAATCATCCTGATTTTTCAACTGGTATGAATCTTACATCTATTAATAATTGCCAATAGGTTTCGTTCTATTTGCCTTGGGGTTCATACATCTCTTCTGTTTCTCGTAACGATGCGATAGCGGGCCAAATCTCATGGTGCGTTTCGAATGAGCAGATAAACACTGCATGCAGACGGGGCTGAATTTAGTGATCTCAGTGCATCAGACAGTGGATCATTCCCTTTGACGAAGAAAGGACATACAATACATACTTGTATTCTTCGTAATTTTGACCGAACAACTTTCGTTGCTGATAATGCTGTTCCAAACACTTATTTATTATTCTATTAGGATTTATTTCGCTTACAATGGAGATCCATCTGATCCTCGTTAAGACAGTCGTGTACGTCGAAATCATCGCTAAATAAAGTGGATTCGGCCATAGCTTCGACAGCCACTCAGAGTGCAGCATCGCCTACCGATGTCGGTACTCCAATGGTGTCCACAACTAACTGTAACACCTTCTTAAATATATATGTCAAGTTTTCATTTTATAATACTAATATTCATTAATAATTAAATGATATATCTTTCAATTCTCAATTCTCAATCCTCAGTTCTCAATTCTCAATTCATTTAAACATTACAAATCAAATAGTGATCACACACATTATTATTCTCTGACTCCGCGACAGGCCCCCGCTAGATGGTTAGTGCATGAAATATGTATGAAGCGAAGCGGAATACATACTTTTATTGCGGGATCATGGGGGGAGCTTAACATTAGTTGTCAATTTCAAGAATAATTTTTGCTGTTTATTTATTATTTTTTTAACCCATCTTGATACAATAATTATCTGGGATTTACGTTCTGTATGTCCCAGAAATTCTCCTTTACATCTTTACCCACCCACCACCCGTGTTTAGTCCATTTTGTGTTCCAACACACAGACAGTTGGTGCAGCGTGCGCTTTGGACGGTTGGGGGAGCGTCTAGACTAGCTAGCTAGGTGCTGAAATCACAAATCAAAGGGGAGGAAACCGGGGGACATGGCGGTCGTCCCGAAGCGGGGGGCTGAAATTTTTGTCGTCGTGTCGTGGGCGTGGCAGGAAGGGGAGGCTCGCAGGTACCCTTGTGCGTGTTTTTTAGTATTTTTTTCACAAAAAAATGGAGGGCAGGACTTAATTCTTTATTACGGGTGGGTGGACTACAGGAGACGGAGCCTACATGTAGATCTCATCGTCCCCAAATGGCACGACGCAGGACGATGATGCTGCTTGGTGGAGAGGGGTACAGCGGAGATCGACCACCGCCGGCGAAGCGAAATACAAGCGGCCGGAAATGAAGGGCGTCTGGTGAAGTGAAACATCCAGCGCATGAGTGAGTGTATGTGCCCCGGAAAATATGTTCGTGGGCAAACAAAATTGAGAGGAGCAGTGCTCGAAGCTGCGGATATATCTGCCCACATCGACAGCTTGGCCCGGGGGTGGAGGGGTCCCCTGCCTGCCCTGGGCTACGCGGCGGCGTTAATAACCTCTCGCCACCGCACTCACTCTCGACCACACCCTTCGTACAGGAAGAAGCGTGTAACAGCCCAGCACCAGCTGTTGTGCGTGTGTGTGCGTGTGTGTGTGTCTTGATATGAAAAATCGTCCTGATTACTGCTCAAAGTACTTCTGTACCTTCTACCATCCGTACGGGCACAACGTAGTGACGCGGGCACTTGCCGTAGTGACAGGCTACCACCATCATCACCCAAAATTAATCCTTACGAAAAAAAAGAAGAGGAATTAATCGAAGGGCCAGAAAACTCAACGCAAAATGCGATCAACGGAAAGAAAGTAGCCTTTTCTCGATCCTAGCTTTTTCATCACCATCGAGGCTACTGCAGATAGCGCACGTCAAAATCGGGTCGAGCCTCAATCCCTTATTTTGGGTTGAAGTACCGGCCCAACTCGTCCATTTTCTTTAAAGGCATTTCTAAATTGTTTTGGACTGTCGTCGCATCCTCCCGATTCTCTTACTCCTTTCAAGTACTTCGTATTTTCTTAGTTCTGTCTATTGATCTCTGAGGACAATCAATCCACTTCATCAAGCCCTCAAGAGAGGTGTTGGAAAGTGCCATCAAACCCGTACAACAGCGGAGAGCATGTGGTTGTCCGTGATGTATGTGTGGCAGTACTACAGTACAGCACAGTGAACAGCAGGGGCGAGGGGGGGGGGGGTACTCTTATGTTTTGCATGCCTTAACGGTTAGTTAGACCATTGACCACGCGTCCTCGAGAGGACGAGCGTTGTTCCCACAGGAGGACCAATCACCGATGATGATGTCGTTCCTTCCTACTTTGCCAAAGGTGGCTCAAAAATGTCGTCCCTAGTTTGTCTATCCTTACGATATCCCTTCCCGCCTTTTCAAACCACCTCCTACTCCCCAGTACAGCTACCGTCCTCTCTTCTCTACACCATGCCTCAAACATCTCCCTGTACCTCCCCTGTATTTTTCCCAGCTCAGTCATGTACACTTCCCTCTCTTCTTCGTACATTTGACATTCCGCGACTACATGAACAAGGTCTTCGCATTCGAAGCCGCAATCACATTTGAACTTGTCGTCTTCGTCGTCTACCGTCCTATGTCTTCGTCGACATTCTCGAAGGCCTATGTCCCCGGTCCTGATTTTTACCGTAAGCCTTGTCCCTGCATCCATTGGTCCATGTAGTTGGTAAATCCTTGAACCCTAGACTATTCCTTCTTGCAACATGCCGTACAGTTCTCCTCATCCTCGGTTTCTTTCCTTAGATTCAGTTCTTCTCCCTCGGCACAAGCAACAGATATCTTCTCCTTGAACAGGGGCAAGGGGGGGGGGTGTACTCATAGTCGTGCATGCCGTAGTCGTTAGACCATTGACCTCCCATCCCTACAAAGCCGGGACGGAGCACGCCGGGTTCTCACCGGACCAGGCTCTCACATCACCAAGCGCGAAGCGCCGTGAGGTATTCGGCGAGTCGCAGGAAGAGAGTGCTAAACTCTTCTCGCATTAAAAATTGAAGGCGAAGTACCGCAGGAGGGGAGGGTAGAGAGAGGCTCTTCTGTGTGACCACGGGTTGGAATAAACGGCACTTGTGCTGTGAGCGCTGATTTGAAGTGAAGAACAAAAAAAAAAAAAATGAAGGGTGCGCTGCATCCTGCTAAGGGTGTTCGGCATCTTGTGCTTACTTCCTTGCGTACGGATGACAGCTGCGCACGACTTAATTTATTTTCTGGTGCTTTCACTTCCAGAGACAGTTAGTTGTAAGCACTGTGCAACTGCCTCGAGGGTGCTTGACCATTTTATTTAACACAACGTGGTGCGATCATGCCCATTGCGCGGAGTGAGGGTTCTCCACCCCGCACAACATGATCTACTCGACCAACATTCATTATGGTTACCGTAAAAAAAAACAGAGGTAAAAAAAAAGCGGTAACCTGGTTGCCGAGCTCACGAAGTGGATTGGCTTGTTTTACAACGTCGTTGCCAGCGACAAAAACCCAATCCCGATTACAAATACCGGGGGGGGGGGGGCTTGTTTTACAACGAACGAACGAACGAACGTCGTTGCCAAGCGACGAAAACCCAACCCCGATGGCAAACACCGGGGGCGGCGGCATGTTTTACAACGTCGTTGCCAAGCGACGAAAACCCAACCCCGATGGCAAACACCGGGGGGGGGGGGGCTTGTTTTACAACGTCTCGTTGCCAAGCGACAAAAACCCAACCCGGATGGCAAACACCGGGGGGGGGCAAGGGGGGGGCGCGCGAAAATAATCACTCTGCCCCCTAAATTTACAAATATAATTCACTTCTGTTCAGCTAGGTAGGGG